CTTACATAATTATCGGTTTACTTATATTTAACTTCCAAATCATATAGATATGAATCGTAGAATGCATTTTTTCTGCTTTGTTCTAACAATGAAGTGGGTGAAAGCTCTTACTTAAAAAATAAAATTGCTTTTTATAAACAGAAATTCCTTGATAGCAACAAAACATCGATCGATGTTTCAGGACTTTGGATAAGTTATTTTCGATGCTATTATTTATTGTGATCATCTCTTATCCTATTTCAATCCCTGTCAAATCATTGCAATCATCTCTTATGCTGTGTTGATCACTGTCAAATCATTTTAATCAACTGTTATGCTGTGTTGATCACTGTCAAATCATTCTAATTAACTGTTATGCTTTGTTGATCACTGTCAAATCATTCTAATAAACTGTTATGCTGTGTTGATTACTGTCAAATCATTCTAATCATCTGTTCTGCTGTGTTGATAAATTTCAAATCATTCTAATCAACTGTTATGCTTTGTTAATCACTGTCAAATCATTCTAATCATCTGTTATGCTTTGTTGAGCACTGTCAAATCATTCTAATCATCTGTTATGCCTTGTTGAGCACTGTCAAATCATTCTAATCATCTGTTATGCTGTGTTGATCACTGTCAAATCATTCTAATCATCTGTTCTGCTGTGTTGATCACTGTTAAATCATTTTAATCATATGTTATGCTGTGTTGATCACTGTTAAATCATTGCAATCATTTCTTATACTCTAGTGATCACTGTCAAATCATTCTAATCATCTGTTCTGCTGTGTTCATCACTGTTAAATCATTTTAATCATATGTTATGCTGTGTTGATCACTGTTAAATCATTGCAATCATTTCTTATACTCTAGTGATCACTGTCAAATCATTCTAATCATCTGTTCTGCTGTGTTCATCACTGTTAAATCATTTTAATCATATGTTATGCTGTGTTGATCACTGTTAAATCATTGCAATCATTTCTTATACTCTAGTGATCACTGTCAAATCATTCTAATCATCTGTTCTGCTGTGTTCATCACTGTTAAATCATTTTAATCATATGTTATGCTGTGTTGATCACTGTTAAATCATTGCAATCATTTCTTATACTCTAGTGATCACTGTCAAATCATTCTAATCATCTGTTCTGCTGTGTTCATCACTGTTAAATCATTTTAATCATATGTTATGCTGTGTTGATCACTGTTAAATCATTGTAATCATTTCTTATACTCTAGTGATCACTGTCAAATCATTCTAATCATCTGTTCTGCTGTGTTCATCACTGTTAAATCATTTTAATCATATGTTATGCTGTGTTGATCACTGTTAAATCATTGCAATCATTTCTTATACTCTAGTGATCACTGTCAAATCATTCTAATCATCTGTTCTGCTGTGTTCATCACTGTTAAATCATTTTAATCATATGTTATGCTGTGTTGATCACTGTTAAATCATTGCAATCATTTCTTATACTCTAGTGATCACTGTCAAATCATTCTAATCATCTGTTCTGCTGTGTTCATCACTGTTAAATCATTTTAATCATATGTTATGCTGTGTTGATCACTGTCAAATCATTCTAATCATCTGTTATGCTGTGTTGATCACTGTCAAATCATTCTAATCATCTGTTCTGCTGTGTTGATCACTGTCAAATCATTTTAATCATAAGTTATGCTGTGTTGATCACTGTTAAATCATTGCAATCATTTCTTATACTCTAGTGATCACTGTCAAATCATTCTAATCATCTGTTCTGCTGTGTTCATCACTGTTAAATCATTTTAATCATATGTTATGCTGTGTTGATCACTGTTAAATCATTGCAATCATTTCTTATACTCTAGTGATCACTGTCAAATCATTCTAATCATCTGTTCTGCTGTGTTGATCACTGTTAAATCATTTTAATCATATGTTATGCTGTGTTGATCACTGTTAAATCATTGTAATCATTTCTTATACTCTAGTGATCACTGTCAAATCATTCTAATCATCTGTTCTGCTGTGTTGATCACTGTTAAATCATTTTAATCATATGTTATGCTGTGTTGATCACTGTTAAATCATTGCAATCATTTCTTATACTCTAGTGATCACTGTCAAATCATTCTAATCATCTGTTCTGCTGTGTTCATCACTGTTAAATCATTTTAATCATATGTTATGCTGTGTTGATCACTGTTAAATCATTGCAATCATTTCTTATACTCTAGTGATCACTGTCAAATCATTCTAATCATCTGTTCTGCTGTGTTCATCACTGTTAAATCATTTTAATCATATGTTATGCTGTGTTGATCACTGTTAAATCATTGCAATCATTTCTTATACTCTAGTGATCACTGTCAAATCATTCTAATCACCTGTTCTGCTGTGTTCATCACTGTTAAATCATTTTAATCATGTTCTGCTGTGTTGATCACTGTTAAATCATTGCAATCATGTGTTATGCTGTGTTGATCACTGTTAAATCATTTTAATCATCTGTTCTGCTGTGTTGATCACTGTTAAATCATTGCAATCATGTGTTATGCTGTGTTGATTACTGTCAAATCATTCTAATCATCTGTTCTGCTGTGTTGATAAATTTCAAATCATTCTAATCAACTGTTATGCTTTGTTAATCACTGTCAAATCATTCTAATCATCTGTTATGCTTTGTTGAGCACTGTCAAATCATTCTAATCATCTGTTATGCCTTGTTGAGCACTGTCAAATCATTCTAATCATCTGTTATGCTGTGTTGATCACTGTCAAATCATTCTAATCATCTGTTCTGCTGTGTTGATCACTGTTAAATCATTTTAATCATATGTTATGCTGTGTTGATCACTGTTAAATCATTGCAATCATTTCTTATACTCTAGTGATCACTGTCAAATCATTCTAATCATCTGTTCTGCTGTGTTCATCACTGTTAAATCATTTTAATCATATGTTATGCTGTGTTGATCACTGTTAAATCATTGCAATCATTTCTTATACTCTAGTGATCACTGTCAAATCATTCTAATCATCTGTTCTGCTGTGTTCATCACTGTTAAATCATTTTAATCATATGTTATGCTGTGTTGATCACTGTTAAATCATTGCAATCATTTCTTATACTCTAGTGATCACTGTCAAATCATTCTAATCATCTGTTCTGCTGTGTTCATCACTGTTAAATCATTTTAATCATATGTTATGCTGTGTTGATCACTGTTAAATCATTGCAATCATTTCTTATACTCTAGTGATCACTGTCAAATCATTCTAATCATCTGTTCTGCTGTGTTCATCACTGTTAAATCATTTTAATCATATGTTATGCTGTGTTGATCACTGTTAAATCATTGTAATCATTTCTTATACTCTAGTGATCACTGTCAAATCATTCTAATCATCTGTTCTGCTGTGTTCATCACTGTTAAATCATTTTAATCATATGTTATGCTGTGTTGATCACTGTTAAATCATTGCAATCATTTCTTATACTCTAGTGATCACTGTCAAATCATTCTAATCATCTGTTCTGCTGTGTTCATCACTGTTAAATCATTTTAATCATATGTTATGCTGTGTTGATCACTGTTAAATCATTGCAATCATTTCTTATACTCTAGTGATCACTGTCAAATCATTCTAATCATCTGTTCTGCTGTGTTCATCACTGTTAAATCATTTTAATCATATGTTATGCTGTGTTGATCACTGTCAAATCATTCTAATCATCTGTTATGCTGTGTTGATCACTGTCAAATCATTCTAATCATCTGTTCTGCTGTGTTGATCACTGTCAAATCATTTTAATCATATGTTATGCTGTGTTGATCACTGTTAAATCATTGCAATCATTTCTTATACTCTAGTGATCACTGTCAAATCATTCTAATCATCTGTTCTGCTGTGTTCATCACTGTTAAATCATTTTAATCATATGTTATGCTGTGTTGATCACTGTTAAATCATTGCAATCATTTCTTATACTCTAGTGATCACTGTCAAATCATTCTAATCATCTGTTCTGCTGTGTTGATCACTGTTAAATCATTTTAATCATATGTTATGCTGTGTTGATCACTGTTAAATCATTGTAATCATTTCTTATACTCTAGTGATCACTGTCAAATCATTCTAATCATCTGTTCTGCTGTGTTGATCACTGTTAAATCATTTTAATCATATGTTATGCTGTGTTGATCACTGTTAAATCATTGCAATCATTTCTTATACTCTAGTGATCACTGTCAAATCATTCTAATCATCTGTTCTGCTGTGTTCATCACTGTTAAATCATTTTAATCATATGTTATGCTGTGTTGATCACTGTTAAATCATTGCAATCATTTCTTATACTCTAGTGATCACTGTCAAATCATTCTAATCATCTGTTCTGCTGTGTTCATCACTGTTAAATCATTTTAATCATATGTTATGCTGTGTTGATCACTGTTAAATCATTGCAATCATTTCTTATACTCTAGTGATCACTGTCAAATCATTCTAATCACCTGTTCTGCTGTGTTCATCACTGTTAAATCATTTTAATCATGTTCTGCTGTGTTGATCACTGTTAAATCATTGCAATCATGTGTTATGCTGTGTTGATCACTGTTAAATCATTTTAATCATCTGTTCTGCTGTGTTGATCACTGTTAAATCATTGCAATCATGTGTTATGCTGTGTTTATCACTGTCAAATCATTCTAATCAACTGTTATGCTTTGTTGATCACTTTCAAATCATTCTAATCATCTGTTATGCTGTGTAGATCACTGTTAAATCATCTGTTATACTCTGTTGATCACTGTCAAATCATTGTAATCATGTTATACTGTGTTTATCACTTTCAAATCATTGAAATCATCTTTTTATGCTGTGTTCATCACTGTCAAATCATTTTAATTATCTTTTATGCTGTGTTGATCATTGTCAGATCATTCTACTCATCTGTTATGCTGTGCTAACCATTGTCAACTCTATCATTGAGATCAGTTTTCTATTTGTTTGTATTATAGTAACCATGGAAGGTAGTTCTGAAATAAGGAAAAAGTCTCGGGAATCTAAAGTGTGTTCGAGATGTGGGAAATCAGTTATAAATTTATCTCGTCATCAGAAGGATGTACATAAAGTGAATAAGATTTTTCGTCAGGTAGATGTATATATAAATGGAAACAAGAAAGCGCCTAATAGGAAGATAAAGTTTTGTCCGTTATCTCCATGCAAGCATTCAAAGAAAGGTGTCTTTCAACTTCATCATCATTTACAGTCAAATATCCACAAGCTTAATCCCAACTCAAACCAATACTTAGATGCGCTTAAATCTGCTCCGAGAATTGGGCTTCAAGAGCTACGAGATCACATTGCCAAGAGAAAGAAATCCAAAGCAAAGAGCGCCACAACTAAAGATGGTCCTAAAAAGAGAAAAATCGAATCAAAATCACCTGTACGTGGAAAGGCCGCAAAAGGGTGAAATTTTACAAGGGTGACAAGGAAAATGAGTATAGTTTGGTGAATAGAATCGAAGCTGAGGAAGAAATTGAAAATGACTCGGATGATCAATTATTAGAAAATCCTGAAGGAGAAGCAACTATCAGCAGAAACGTGAGTAACCCTGGGCACCTCGCACCGACCTCCTCCAATAGTAATGCAGAGGAGCGCAAACTACATAATGAAGAAAGTTGTGAATCAAAGGTAAGAGAGACGTACAATGATGATGACAGCAAATTAGAGTATGATCAGCAAGTTGATAAAGTGGAACACAAGCTACATAATGAAGAAAGTGGAGATTCAGGCAATGATCATGACAGTAATTTGGAGTATGAAAAAGTAATGGATCAAATGGAATCAAAGGTAGGTGATACACATGATGACCATGACAGCGATTTGGAGTATGATCAACTTGTGGATAACGTGTGGAAAAGAAATGAAGAGTGCAAGAAGCGAAGCTTTAAACAGTTAGTGTCTATGATGTCCTCCCAGTGTGAAAGCGATGCCGAGCTATCTGAAGAGTTAAACAACCGCAAAAATGCTGACCAAGTAATCCAACCACCTCAACCACCAGTGACGGCTGGTAATACCAAATCTAGTGAAATAGTTATATGCGACAGTGAAGAAGAGGAAATTTTAGACCCAAACTATCACCCTTCCCTGGACTCCGAATCAGAGTGTAGCACTGGAAGCTTGTCAGATAACTGCTCGTTGCAAGAAAGGGATGACATTTTAACTGATTTCGTGGAAAACGTAGATAATCTCGATTTTCTTCGTGTGGAACCAGAATGGAAGAGCGTGGTTGATGTTGTTTTTGAAAGAAAAAAAAGGACGCTGGTAATACTGACTCCCAAAGCAATCTTTCACAAGGTAAAGTGCCTAAGGAAGTTATGAATGATGATGAATCATCAGTATACGATAGCGATGATGATGATAATGACGACTGTCTTGAAGAGATGGAAGATGATGTCAGTTTTGAAGACAATGATAGTAGTGATGACAGCCCACTGCTTAACGAGTTTCATTCCTGGTTGATAGACGTAGACGGGGGTTATCGCTGCGCAAAAGTGGCTGGTCAGTACAAGTCACAGGTAAAACGCATCATGAAAGTTCTTTCAGAAGATTTCCCTCAAGCAAAATGAAATAGATCTTGTTACTGTCGAGGGGCATGACGGAGTGGTAATGTTGAGGAAGTGGTTGGGTCAACTATCTGAGGAGTATCAACCTGGAACCATTAGATCATACCTAATGAGCCTTAGGCTATTCCTTAAATTCCTTGTGCAAGAAGAGAAAGGGCAAGATAGATTAGACACACTTCATGCAAGGAGAGATCTTTTAACTTCGTGGTCATCTGCTCAAAGAAAGAAGGTGCTGAAAAGGAAATTAGAGAAACATGACATGGACTTTGCAAAACTCCTTTCTAGCGAAGATCTATATAAAGTGTCAAATGGACAACAGCGAATAAACATAATTAAAGCGCTTGGAACAGCTGCGGAGAAAAGCAAAGCTTGTGGAGAACCTGTGCTGGTCAACGATCAGACCTTTTGCGAAGTAAGGGATTGGCTGATTACAAGATTAATAATTGACAACTCCGGAAGAAGTGGTATTGCAGCAAATATAACAGTGGAGGAATTCAAAGATGCTAAACTGTACGCTGGAGAAGAAGATGGAGAGAGATACCGCGTATCAGTTAAGAATCACAAGACAGGAGGTGTTTATGGGGCAGCCATTGTATGGTTTCATGCTGATGTTTACAATCTGGTGAATACGTATATCTCAAGGGTGAGGCCTAAGTACGTCAAAGATGCCACAGATAACATGTTCGTTTCAACCAATGGCGTTAAACTTACTTCATCGCAAGTATCCACGTGTCTGACTCGTACATTTCAAAGGGAGGGTGTGAAGTTTCACGGTCGCATCTCCGCAACCTTGATAAGAAAATCTCTGGCATCAGGAGTGCATGTCCATTTGCCTGAAGATCAAGAACAACTGGCTGCCCTTGCACAGCACAAACCTCAAACACAAGCTCAATATTACCGCATCAATGACAAAGTTAGAGAAACAGATATTGGGCGTCGTGCTGTCAGAAAATTTATCACCATGAACTGCGCAAAGACAGAGGTAAGTACTCTTATAATGCATACCAATCGTAGTAATTTGAATAACAATTGGCATACGAATTCTGATTTCTTTTAGGTATCAATAATTCCTGTCGAGTGGACCGAGGAAGAGACCTCAAAACTTCAAGATTTATTCAAGTCTGAAATTGAGACTGGTAACATAACTGAAAACATTGTCAGAGATAAACTTGGTGCTTCCAACCTGTTGGAAACACACTCCATGAAGGCAATTGTGTTGAAAGTGAGAAGGCTTCGATCAGAATTTACCAAAAACTTAGAACCACCAACTGAAGTTGAGTCTCCTGAACAGAAGATAGAACGGTTTATGTCTTCCAGAGCTCCATCCATCGCATCTGAATCTGCAAAGCCATCATGGAGTAAGTTCACCGATGAACAAACAGACCATCTCCTATCGTTAACTCAGGATATGATTGAAAACAACGCAGTAAAAAGAGAGGTCGTTTGGGAACGGGTGATAAATGATGAGAAAGCATGGAAAACCGGGTTGGTCTTCGGAACCGATGATGAGGAGCTTCTTTTGAGGCAAAAACAACGTTTGGCGGACAAGGTACGAAAAGAAGTCAAACGTCAAAAGATGAAGAGAAAGTAGTAGTTTGATCCTGTGGTTCTTGCATTATATTTGAACATTAGTTGACATTGAACATTTCTTGTCTTTATGTATTCAGGGTTACAACATAATTGAGTCCTATATTGTTAACATGTTATTTTCTTTAACCGTTTGCCAGTCATTTTATGGTTGATCGTTTTATTTCAAGTAAGTCAATATTCCCTAAAAAGGCCGATTTACACAATGCAATTTCTTCGTGTGTTAAGGTTCGAACGACAAGTCATAGGGTCGTGTACGACCTGACGAATGACCGTTTATATGGTATGATTCGGGTCACATGCATCGAGTCATATACTACAATCGCATCGTGGAAATCGGCCTTAAGAGTCATATACTACAATCGCATCGTGGAAATCGGCCTTAAGAGTCATAGAATTTGTCTTGGTGACTGATGTGTGTAGGACATCGACTTCTATGAAAAAGATTTAACTTGTCTTGGTCTTGTTGCGAGGTGTTATAAAGTTGAATTTTTCATAAAGCAAAAGTTGTCGTTTAAAAACTTAGCTCCAAGTGATAAAGCTTATATCTGGAATTAAAAGAGTTTACTTTGAGACTCGTTGTCATGAACCTGCAATATATTGTCTTTTTTTAAGTGCAGTTCCAGTTGAGATTTTGTGGAAGTTTCATGACGTTTTCGAAAAGTTTAGGGTGAAGTCACTAAGCCCGTGAAATACATATTAGACTAACACACTTTATTAACCACTAATTTCGTTGTTTCCTTTAGTGTCTATTGAACTATTACATGTTAACAGTTAATTATTTTTTTATGGGTTTAACTTTACCCTAGTGCAACTTTTGTCGTCATAATAGAGCGATATCGCATAACCCCCTTCCTAAATATTGGTGTTTTATTCTAAATGAGCCAATACAAAGATAACATTAGAATACTTAAGACTTTATCTATTGTTGTCTTTCTACGATGTCCATTAACCTTTAACTAATATCCACTTGCTTTTAAAAATATTTATATCGCTCTGTAAACCTCACAAACCGGTGAAATTGCAGCTAAAATCGCCATTGTCATAGAGCTTTAAGGATGATCAACACGCACGCCCAAACTTGTATGCGAGCTGTCAATAGGATATGTATATGTAATCGCATGGGTCCTCGGGCAATTAAGGATTAATTTCACGCGTATTTCCAAACTTTGAAAACACCAGTGAAATTAATCCTTAATTGCCCGAGGGCACTTGCGATTTCTTGTTTATCACATAAAGGGCAAAATTATCGCGGGAATCCATTCACGCGCGACGTTATTCTTTTAGGAAGCCCGTTCAATGCCGCGACATTGCTCATTTTTTCCTCTTGTCTTTGCCCATTGTTGGAAAATGTTAGTCCAGTAGTCCGTACTTCTTTTTGTGTTTTTTGTGCTCACTTGTGTTTAGTAGTTCCTCAATAAACTCTTCAACAAAATGGGAAGCCATTGTTGCAGAAAATTTTAATCGGCAACAAATCTAAGCAATAACTTCATTACAAAGCAACTTTAAACCAATCAAGATCAAGTAATCATGCCCTTTTGATTACCAAAAGTACCCTCGTGATTAAGAAAAAATGCCCTCTGTCTCAGCCAATCAGCACTTAGTAATTTTGCCCTGTATGTGATAAGCTACATAAAATGGGAATTTGCTAGGTGTAGAGTTTTGCTCATAAATCCAATTAACAGCAATAAAATCTATCGAAAAACCAGTGGCCATGTTTGTAAAGTAAAGCGTCATGTCTCTTCTGAAAATTAGCCGTTTGCGCATTTAGTAAGAGTATCTAAATTTTGTGCTAGCAAACTTAAGGTGGAATCCCTGTACATGAAAGGGTATCATTTACTGTTCCCCTCTTTTGTTGGGAATCTACTTCCCTGAAAAAATAAGCTGGAAAAATGTATTTTTACGCGTTAAGAACTGTGCTTAATTTAAGTAGATCTACTGAGTACAAAGACTGTCTCAGGCCTGCTAGTATGGACACCTTAACCCAAGACGTTTTACTGCGTCTTTAATCATGTTTAAGGTATACAAGCGACAGGAAGCTTCGTATATTTCTAATTTTTTACACCTAGAGTCTGTCATTACAATTTGCGCTCCTCTGTTCTTAATGTTTCCCAGCCTGTAAATACCTCTAGCCATATTCAGAGCTCTTTTCATACACTATCTCTCATTCTTGGAACCAGTTACCATCTTCAATTAAATCAGCAACCACTTTATCGGAATTTAAGTCTGGCCTATCTCGCATAACTACGCTTGGCTGTAAGCCTATAAGTGTATTAGTATACAATTGTAGAGGTAGGGTTATGAATTGGTAATTAGGCTTGGGGTTAGGGCTATAATGTTAGGTGATTAGGGCTGGTAGGGTTTCAGGGAAGTTCAGCATCGGGAGCTAAGTGATATTTTTGCGTTTTTATCATCTTTGTCGAGCGTTTTTAACATGAGCCATTAGGCTCGGGGATTGGGTAACCACCCCTACGTTGCCGACGTGAAAAAAATTGTTGTTGTCCACGTGATCAGTAAAAAATGGTCTAAAAAAAGCTTTATTTTGTTAATTCAATTAGTACACTAGGCAGGGAAATCATCTTAACTGTCAATATTGCTCCGCTTCTCTTTTTAACTTGAATGTCGCTCAGTCACGATATTTCTGCTTTAATTCAAATAATAACACTTTTAAAAAAATGTTTAAATTATTTTCCATGTTCCCTTTCACAAGGCGTCTTTTTAGCTATGCAAACAAATTACCAGAATTCCGCTTTATTCAAGTTTTATAAGTAAAAATGTCCCATCAATTTGGCAAAGTGGGTATTTGCTACTTACAAGTGGGTATTTGCTACATAAAATGGGTATTTGCTACATGCAGAATTTCGCTCGTAAAATTGATAAAAATGAATGGAATAGCTTGTAAACACGTTGTAAATTCTTAAAAATAATGCGTCATCCATGCATGCGAAAATCATGGCATTAGAATGAACTAAAAGTGAAATAATGCGAAAAACGCATTTTAGAAATGTTTGGGTTCCAAAGTTTCAAGTCTTGTACACCTACATACCCAGAAGCGCACTTTTTTGCTAAAAATGGTCTTCACAGAAAAAATTTTAAAACGACAGAACTCAGAAGGCTTTTACGGCAAAGAAGAACATTTAGAAGACCTTTGATATCCGGAAAGTTTTTGAATTTTATAAAAAAAATGATTGATGTACCTAGGTTTGGGTATTTGCTACCTTCTGACTTTTCAGTGACGAAATGCGAACAACAATTAAACTTTAATAACGTTGGTTTTGCATAGAAGAGAGCTAAAAAGCAATATTCTTTTGGCTAGAATTGTTAAATACTTTAAAAAAAAACTTTTACTTAATTTAAATAGGCATAGAGAAAACGCGTAGCAAACACTCACTCATGAATCTAAAGAGAGAGAGAGAGAGAGAGAGAGAGAGAGAGAGAGAGAGAGAGAGAGAGAGAGAGAGAGAGAGAGCACTTTAGGGCACTTTTGTCACGTACCTTAGGGCACTTTTGTCACGTTAGGGCACTTATGCAACGTACCATAGGGCACTTTCGTCACCTTAGGGCGCTTATGTAACGTACCATAGGGCACTTTCGTCCCTGTCTCCAGTTTTTGTGTCTCGTATAAAACTGAAGAAATGAAATCTAAATCAAACATAGTTTTTTGTTTATTTAGAAATACAAACAAGCCTACAAGCAGAGTCACTCTCTGCAATCTTCATGCTGATTCACAACTTTAACGTAACCTGTTTCTCGTGTAACGGCGTGAAAAATAGTTAATTTTATCGTTAGGTAAGGCATTTTTTTAATATAGAATCCATTTATCAGCATATTTGGAACATTTTAAGCGATACTTGCAAAAACAGTGAAGGGTTCCTTCAAACGTAACCTGTTTCTCATGTAACGGCGAAAAAGTCAATCTACATTGAACGTACTTTGCTTTCTCTTTAGAGATAAAACTAACCTATAAGCAGAGTCACTCTCTGCAGTTTTCATGCTAATTAACAACTTTAACGTAACCTGTTTCTCATGTGACGGCGGAGAAGTTAATCCACATTGAACGTAATTTGTTTTCTCTTTACAAATAAAATTTAACCTATAGGCAGAGTCACTCTCTGCAGTTTTCATGCTAATTAATAACTTTAACGTAACCTGTTTCTCATATAACGGCGAGATAGTTGATCTATATTTAACGTATTTTTTTTTATTTTTACAAATACAAACTAACCTATAAGCAGAGTCACTCTCTGCAGTCTTCATGCTAATTCACAACTTTAACGTAACCTGTTTCTCGTGTAACATTGACCGTACTTTGCTTTCTCTTTAGAGATAAAACTAACCTATAAGCAGAGTCACTCTCTGCAGTTTTCATGCTTATTAATAACTTAAACGTAACTTGTTTCTCATTTAACGGCGAGATAGTTGATCTACATTTAAAACGTAGTTTGTTTTCTCTTTAGAAATACAAACAAACTAACCTATAGGCAGAGTCACTCTCTGCAGTTTTCATGCTAATATAATATCTTAAACGTAACCTGTTTCTCATGTAACGGCGAGATAGTTGATCTATATTGAACGTATTTTTTTTTCTTTTTACAAATACAAACTAACCTATAAGCAGAGTCACTCTCTGCAGTCTTCATGCTAATTCACAACTTTAACGTAACCTGTTTCTCGTGTAACGGCGTGAAAAATAGTTAATTTTAAACGTACTTTGTTTTCTCTTTAGAAGTATAAACTAACCTTTAAGCAGAGTCACTCTCATGCTAATTCACAACTTTAACGTAACCTGCTTCTCGTGTAACGGCGAGAAAAAAAAAAGTCAATTTTAAACATACTTTGTTTTCCCTTTAGAAATATAAACTAACCTTTAAGCAGAGTCACTCTCTGCAGTTTTCATGCTAATTAATAAGTTTAATGTAACTTGTTTTTCATGTAACGGCGTGAAAGTTAATCTACATTAAAAATAGATTGATTTCTCTTTAGAATACAAACTAACCTACCAGCATCGTCACTATCTACGGTTTTCATGCCAGCCTTACAATTTAGCTGACAAAAAGCGTTGCTTGGCAAATTGTTCATTTCTTCTGATTCAACCTTCTCTCGTATTTCAAACGATTGATTATTTGCTTCAATTTGAACTCGTGTAACATCGCTTTCCCCTCCTCCTCTTTGCCAAGCATATCTTTGACGGCAGTTTGGGATATTACCCCTGATTTTACCATCCCACCACATACCTTAAGTAGGTACTTCCTGTGATCATCACTAAAGATGTTCCTCGACACATAGCTTGAATTTGAAGGAGGTACCATCGATACACTGCTCTCTTCATTGGAAAAGAAGCGGGACATCTTGTCGGCTAAAGAGTCACTTTCTTTGGGCAGTTCAGGACTTTTTGGGGGCTGTTCAGCTGAAGGTTTGTCGTCATCAATATCTCAAGGTTGGGAGTTGCTTTTGTCATTTAAGCGCCACTCACTTCGAATCTTGTCATAAACCTTTCTTGGGTGAAGACGACGGAGGACGGGATGCTCTTGAATCTTTTCCCTCACTTCTGCCATGGTAATTGATTTACTTTCAATTTCTGTGAAAAATACATCTTTTAAAGTAGCCACCTGTTCCTCGTCCCACAGCATGCGCTCCTTGTTGTTTCTGTCATCGGCTTCTAGACATCGTGAGAAGTCGTAGCGGTTGGTAGGGTATCTTCTACGCCTTTTTTCGGTTCAGCCGATCTCATAATGGTGGGAAGGCTGCTTGCCGCTTGTACGCACGCTTTCTCTTTCTTTTTAAGTCGGTAAAATCTCTCAGCTGTCCCTTCTTTATGCGCCATGAGGTCGGCCAGATCTGATTTCATTCCTTTATGTCGTGTGTGCACTTTGGTGAATGCTGACTTGCGAAAAATAGTTGATGTCACGTGCCCTTCCATTCCTCCCTTCCTCCACGCTGCGTTAATGGCAGTGGATATCTGGCCGGACTCTAATTTAGAACCATTCCAAGACAGGAACACACTTCTTTTGTTACTTCCATACTCTTCACTTGTGGAATCTTCCATCTGGCTTCGCATTTCACTGACGTACAATCTTAAATACGAGAACAATGATAATGACAACACCACGCGTGCCGGGCCGTGAGTATCCTCCGTTTTGTGGTCCTTGACGCTTATGACCATGCTATCATCCACTCTCTTTGCTGCCTTATATTCTTCCAGTGTCATATTTGCCAACACACCAGAACGGTGTGCATTGACAATAGTGATTTCAAGGAGAATAAAATCTCTGACGAGAGTGTACATGGACTGGTTAACTTGTAACGAATGCGCTCCACTTAGTTGTTCCAAAAGGTCAACAGCGCTCCGTGCTGCCTCACTGCGTTCATATTCGTTGACCATTTCAGGGGTCACTAAATTGCTAAGGTCGTTGTCCATCTTCTCAAGATACCGCCGTTTACTATCCTTCCTATACGACATGGACCAAAGACGTGCTTTCTCTTGAATTTGTTGCACAAGGGCAGGATCAACAGCCACACTTTCAGGTTTCTCGGCAACCACGTACGAACAGAAATGCCTTAAACTGAGGAGATAGGCTTTGACGGTATCGGCTGTATACTTTGCTTCTGCTTGCTTCAAAAAAGTGTCGCGAACAAAGGTTTTGTTGAATAACGACTCAAACTGCAGCGAAGGATCAATTATCTGCAATATGCGGAACAATTGCGAGGCATGTTGCTTTGATAATTTCTTATCCTTTCTACCGCCATCTGCTGACTGCAACCAGCTGCGGAAGGAGGATACTACATTTATCTCATCTTCTACGTTTGAAGAATAAGCTTCTTCTGCCGATTCCATAATGGCTTGCTCTTCTTCAGAAGGTTCCGTGTTGTTCGTCTGCACCTCCACTTCATCTTCTGACTCGGCGAGAGAACATTTTTTTATCTTTGTTTCCTCTTCTGTAAGAAAACGTTTAACTTGTTCAGACGGTTTCCAGGTTTTGGCTGAGCGAGCTTCTCTCAAAATCTTTTTGTAAAATGGTGACCCTACTGGGATGTCCCGATGAACTTGACGTATATGATTAGATAAGCGCTTCACCACTGATTTACACCCTTGAATTGGGCAAGCTCGATGACGGTGATATTCAGTGTATATCTTCTTGCCCTCACTTGATTCTGACTTGTTATTCTTCACAGGTTTCGGCTCAAAACTTTTTCTCATCCCATAGCTCGATGTTGCTTTCCTTGCCATCTCCTTGCTCCAGTCATGAACCTCCCTTAAGTGTCGAGGGATGTCTATGACGTCTGCTTTACAACCCTTTAAAGGGCACCTGCGTCGTGGTCTTTTCTTCTGGACATTCTTAGCTGTCGAACCTTTGAACTTTTTTACGCGATCTTTTTTACTGTCTTCTTCATCTTCGTCATCTTCACTGCTCTTCTGAGTCCAACCTCTGCTCTCAGAGTATTCACTGTCTCTTGAAGGACTCCGACTTTCATAATCTTCGACATCTATTTCCACTTCATTGTCGTCGTGTTCTTTACAAAATCTTGCCCAGGCATTTCGAGTATTCTCTAGTTCACATCTCCGCTGTAACCGAGATGCAGAAGTTGTTTGAGTTACAATTTGAATATGAAACGTCGATATAAATACTATATACAAGAAATGGTTGTTTTGTTTTGTTTCAACCTGAGCAACATCATCAACAATGACTGCATTTTTTATTTAGAAAAAGGGAAAACAATGTCAGTGCTATAACATTCTATTAAAATAAGAGAATTAATATTCCTATATCAATAAATTACAACCCTACATGTACATATTTGCAATATAAACGAGATGAGAGGATACACTTCGTCTTTTTAACATACTTACATATTAAGAAAAGAGTTGACTTAGACTATTGCAATTCGAAGTAGTAAGCAAAATGTTGATCTACTTCTGGTCCACTATCCTGCAATCTTTTGGGTCCAGAGCTCTCAGGGTGGATAAATTAATTAATTATGAATTTTAAAGTGTTGCTTAAATGTGGTGGCCATCTTGGTTTTTACATACAATTTAACCCCCCCCCCCCCAAAAAAAAAAAAAAAACAACAAGAACAACAACAAGAACAACAACAAGAACAACAACAAGAACAACAATATATAAACAAATAAACGCCGATTCCGTATTATCTTTATTAATTTGAAAAAAGAAAAACTTGAGGTTGAGGTTAAAAAGGTATGCTCCGGGGAAGGCTTCAACTTATTACGTTTTATGTATAGCGATTTTTAGATGAATTAAAAGAGTTTCTTAAGGCAAGGAGGCAAGCACACAACAGCAGACGCTTTGTGAGGAAAGAACAGGAAGAATCAAACAGCTAGAGGTTACCACAACATAAGAAATGTTTTTTACTTAACTTGTATAAAAATTATTGTTAAGGTACACTGAAATTGTATTGAAGGTTATTTATTCCACCTAAATGAATAAGGATCGCAGTTACAAAGAATTATCTGTGGAGATTTTATGTTTCATGACCGTTTGTTAGTTTTGAAACGCTGCTTGTTTTATTAATTTCCCACAAACTTCCTCTCAACTATATTTAGTCATTATTCAAGTTATATACGTGATCTAAAATAAGGTTTCAGTAGAATCGTGATTTCCTGGTAAGTTAAATCATAGTTCTAGAATTTTTCTGCTAGGAAATAGGTTTTGTTGTGGGCGCTACATCTTTTACAACGCCCTAGTTTTTTCACGTATCATAGCCGATAAAGGACGACGCGCAACGTTAGTTAGTCAGAGAAGTTAGTAGAAGCTACACCGCTACTTTGCTAAGATCAGAAGGATCCACGTTACCGCTATCTTTTGGTGCGAGTCGTCAACCAAAGTACGTAAGTCTTTCTACTTTGTTGTTAATTAAGTCGCAAATTATTAGTCTTTTCTCTTTCACGAGAAGTAGCTTTCATTTAGTCATTTTTATAAGTTTGCAAAGGATCATTTCTCGAGTTTTATCATTACTAGTATTATTGTCAAGCAATCTTGTCAACCAATTGTCTGTTGTTTTTACCAAATTGTCACTGCTTTACGCTCGTTTAGTCACTCTGTTCAGCACAAGATTGTTGTTTATATCTTCGCGTGATATTGTGTTTATTACACGAGCTTATCATCTTAGTCTATTAGTTTTCAAGTATCAATTAGCACGTTTGTTTATTCACGTTATGAGCTCGCTGGTTTTTTTTTATCGTTGTTCTATTTTTGTTAGTCGTATCTTTAGCTTTATCTAAGTTAGATTATATTTTTAATTATCGTATTTCAGTTCGAACCTACTTTACTACTTCACCTTCTATCATCGCCACCAGAATCAACTTTGGTCTTCGCTATTTTCATGTCAAACGCTACCGATTGTGATCTAGACCTGTAAACTTTGATCTTTCATTAAATCAGTTTAAATCTATCAAGTGGAGTTCGAATATTGCCACCTCGCGCCGCGCTACCCCTGTAGTTGTTGAAGATTTAAAAAAGGTGCAACCTCTAGAATCTTTGCATCTACACCGTTACTTTAACAGGATCACTGAAAATTACAGCCAACAAAATGCTTTAAGGGGCCTTTTATAGGCACGCACCGTGTTTCAGTGAGCAAGTATAACACAAGCGCGCATTTTGCGGTCATTTGTGTTTGGCTTGTGTTAAGTATACGAATGCAAGCTATCTTTCATTTTACGGCTTGGTTCAACTCCTATCAAAAACAGTACAGAAAAAAAGAGGCAGTAAAGAGACTGGAATAACATATTATTTGGCAGAAAAAATAAAGGAAAACCTAGGCGTGCTGCCTCATGCATCTAGAATATAGCAGAGATAAAACTTCATCGACATCACATAGTTTGTTACAATGGTTAAACCTTATCAAACACATTTGTTAACTTAAGAAACCCACCTTTTCAATCAGATCTTTGTCTCCTGTCATTATAGCTTTGGCCAGATTTGACTTTCCCATTTTAATTTGCTCAAGTAGATCCTGATCACTCATTTTTGAAATGCTAAAAGTGCATAAAGAAATTAGAATACTAAATGAGAATATAAGACAACAGGCTTGGCGCATGGAGCTGGTGTACACGACCGTAACATCGCGCGTTTGCACTAATTTCGTGTTTAGAGAAAGGCACGATTTCTGCACAAAGGCTTGAACAAAATTTAGCACGGTTTAAGACAAAGTCAGTTCGGCACGGTTTTTGAGCAGTTTTGGTACAGGCAAGGCACGGTTTAGGAACGGTTTAAGTGCACTTTATGCACACTTATGCACGCTTATGTAGCACGTTCGATGGAAATTTTTGATCACAACTGCCGCGTTGATTTGTCAGCCGTCAGTGAGCCGGTTCGATTTTGCGTGTCGACGTTTGTTCACATCTTATCAAAATCTGATTTTGGACAGCCTATTTACAGCATTTTGAAGTTCAATTTACGGCCGTGATCGCCAGTAGCGTCCGCCAGGCCAACAAACATATAAACAGTTCTACAATAGTCGGGATTCGAAACTGATTTAACGTTGCAAAAAAAAAAAAAAAAAAAAACGTGCCAAAGAAACGTTCCCTGATAGTAACAACAGTAATGGCATTGATTTTCACATTAATACAACTTACATGACATGGTGTCACTTCTTGTCACGCGATTCTCAGATGATGGAGTGAGTGTCGAAATCAGCGGGTGATTTCTAGAAATCAAAAGGAATAGAAAACGCTGTAGCTACGATATAATGTGAACCATAGGAATGCATGTTTACTTATACGGACTGAATGGACGATCATCAGATGGAAAACAAGTTTTGAGTCAAATTCGATAACTGCGTCGACCACGTGCTTTTATGACAGTTTTCCAGTTTATGCTTAAAAGAACAGGGCACTGTAAATCTGATCAAAATTTCGAAGACGTTGTTAAATACTATGCACATGTAACACCCTTATTTCTTTATATTAAAGCCTACAGATGCGAAAGACGAAGAATAGTTAAAACACATATTTGCTTACCTTTATCTCGAAGTCTTCGATGACAGCCATTTCAAGTACGCTTCACGAAGTGTAGTTTTATGATGCCAGATAAATTTCGTCCAAGCTTTTCGCTTCCAACACGGTGGTTCGTTGCTATGCGATTTCCTCCCATAGCGTCCCTCTCGTCACGTGATACAACAGGCCTTTGTTGTTTTCGTGTTCGATGGCTCAGTAGCGGTGGAGATATTGAAATTCGCTTCTCGGCAATTCGCCGGTAACAAAACGAAAAAGGGCCTGGGACTGAAACTGCGATCGCAAAGCATGCATGGATTGTTTGGCTGGACAGAAATCAAAATGGCGTCCATTGCGAATGATAGTAAGCTCTCAGAAACTAAAGAAGAAGGCTTTATTTTAACTGAAGACGATATACCTGGGGCTGTTTTGCCAAACAGAAATGTAGAGGCATGCAGTGTGGTACAGCTAAAGCGCTGGCTGATTTGTAGGGGAGCGAAAACAAGTGGTAAAAAGTCAGCTTTAGTCAGCAGGTAAAGGGTCAAATTCAGCTTTTTCGTAGCTCTTTCTTTTGCTTACATAAAAACCATTAATATTTCTGATGGAAAACATATTCACTTAAAGATTTTATACATTAAATCGTCTGCTTAGAACTCCATTAACATTATTTAAAATCGTTTTGCATAGGGTAAAACACTATGTAGAAAATGGCCTTGACATGAAATATCTTAGAGACCCCGACAACGGCGCTAATATTATGAAGAAAAAAGCAGATCTTGGTTTGCTTGATAAGAAAGAGCCTCAAACAAATGGAAAATTTCCAAAAGAAGGTTTCAACTCTGATCTCAATGCTCTCCCTAAAGTATCATTTGGAACCATCTGGCGTTACATGATCGACTCAGTTGACTCAAAAAAACAACTCTCAACTGCTAAACCTCTTGTAAAGGGGTTCAATTTTTATAAGTCTGGGAACGTACATTCTATTCACCATTTAAAGGAAAGTGGGAAGCACTTTATAAAGAGCCAAGTTCTCCCATCAATGAAAAAGAACTTAATATACCAATGTCAAATAGTAATGTCAAGTATTGGAGGAGTACTCAAAGCATATTGTGGTTGCCCAGCAGGAATAGACGGAAGATGTAATCATGTGTCTGCAACTCTCTTTGCCTTGGATGAATATTGCAAAGAAAGAGAAAAGATCTCCATAGAATCATGTACTTCTAAACCATGTAAATGGAATATCCCAAGGAAACGAAAAGGTCCTGTATCACCAATCTCAG